TGATAGTTTTTATTTTATTTATTTATATATTTTATTCTGCTTATGTTTTTTTATTTGTTAATTTAAAAAATAATTTTTTTAATTTTATTCTAATTTATTATAAAAGTGAAAACTAAATCGATCAACCTTAATAATAAAAGAAAACTAAAAGTAAATGCCTCAAATCAAAAAGATTAGTTTCCTTTGAAATAATTTTCTGACTGCGATAAACAAATGGTGAAAAAAGACTAATAAATATTTGAGTTAAAGAAAATAAAAAATATTATTTAACAATATTTTGTAATAAGATAATTTAAACTAAAATATAGATAAATTTATTATTATTTTATATTTATGAAAAGTATACTTTTGTAAGATAATAAATAGCTTATTAAATGTAAGAAAATTTATAAATTAAATAAACTTAAATAAATTATTTTCTCTAAAATCAAACAATACACAGTTTGTTTTCGCTAAAAACAATCAAAATTTTAAATAATTGTTAAGTTTCTTATTATAGCTAATTGCCATTCAAAAATTTAATGATTTGAAATCATTATTTTTTTGAATGGCTGATGCGTTTAAATATAATTTATATAAAAATAAATAATTTAATAAGTGAATTTAATTAATAATATTAATAATTAATTTTAATTTTTTATATTTTTATGATATTTCAATTAAATTTTTAGTTTTATTTTAAAAGATAATTTTTTAATTTTATAAAAAGTAATAAGAGTACTTATCTTATAAGAATATCATATTTAAATTATACATAAAAAAAAAGAGTTTGTTGCTTGCTCAACTTTTTCATAATCTTCTTACATGTTTATTTATTTAAAATAAAAGTACATATTGAAAATAAATTAGACTTAAAATATTTTATAAAAGAAATTTCTATTAATATTTATTTATTATAAAAACAATAATTAAAAATAATTTTATTTTTAATAAATTTCATAATATAATAACATTTAAATATTATAATTAGTTAATTAGTCAATCAATCAATCAATAAGTCAGTACTTTCTAAGATTTTTTTAGCATCCAGGACATTAAATAATTTATAATAAATACTTTTGTCATTGTCTATCAAAAAATATTTATGGACTAACACAGCTTTAACAAAGGATATGATAAACTCTACTAAAATGAGTTCAACAGCAATAGAAACTAAAAATAAGAATATGAATTGATTAGATTCACTTGGGGTTTTACCACTTGTAACCGATAAAATTACATATAAATAGAACAAAGATATCAAGATTTGGAAAAAATATGATAGATTTTTTAGCCATTTGCCTTTTTTTAAAGTAAGTAATATGATTAAAGTAGCTACCTTTAATATAACACTATTGATTATTGCAATAACTATCTACTAATCTAGCATATTATATCCAGCAAACAAAATCGATATAGAAAGTGTATGTATAATCTTAATATAAAATATAGTAAACCTCACTGGTCTAGAGATCATATCATCGTACAGATAAAAAATAGCAAAAAGTTAATGAAATATGGCAATTCTTTTGAATTTAGATATTTGCTTATAAATTAATTTTAAATTTTATTTATTTTATTCACCTGTAACTTTATTTAATGAGTTTCTTTAAGTTTCAGTAGATAAAACTTTCATATTTCCTTCTTTTTACTCACTTTTCTATTCATCATATTAATTTTTAACAGGCAGTTACTCCTAAAAGATACTTTTACAGCTAAGGTTTTGTTTTTCTTAGTTTTCAATTAAATCAGTTAAAGGCAATTCTACGAATTGTTAAGAAGTTGCAATATAAGGCCTACTTTCGATCTTTAGCAAGCTAGACTAAATTTTTTTTTCTACTTATCCTTGTTAGATTTAAGATTGAGTTTATTTATTTATCGTCAAAATACCTTTTGAGCTAAATCCTTCTTCTTGATGAGTTTCTTGTATACTTTTTTATATATCTTTTCCTTATTGATCTTAGCTTTCAATATTATTAATAGATAAATGTGGCTTGTTTAATGGAATAAACTGTAATAATTTAAATCCGTTTTCTAAAAATGTTTTTTAAAATCTTAAATTTTTAATATTTTTTAATTCATTTTCATTAGATTATTGTCCAACATTTGATTATTCATCTTATTATACAATTTCATTTTGTTGTTTTTATTAAATTTACTATAAACTTTAGAAATCTTATTATTCTTAATTACTGACAACTTATTATTTCTTTATATTTTACTATTATTGTTGTTATTGTTCTTGTTATTAACTTTGTTAATTATTTTGATTATTTTACTAATTTTGATGGATTTTTTAATAACGCTGACTGCAAGAAATTCTGTCTAAACGCTTACCAATAAAAAATAGACAAATCTAAATTGCTGTAATTATAAATAACATCCAGAATGCCACATACATGTAGAAATTTTTAAAGTTTGAAAAATTTGTTATACCTTATTCTCCAAATGCTGTTTACAAGTTTTTGTTTTTCAAAAGCATGTCATCAATGTCTTCTAGGATTGTTGTTGGCTTTTATTAGTTGCATAAACACATTTTACTATTTTAATTATTTTTATAAATAGAGCATTCATTTTAACTCCAATCATCATCATTTTTTTATACGCATGCCATTTTGTATATTTAGCTTGATACTGCGCTATCAAATTAATATAGTATATTTAGCTCATTATGTAGTCCTGAGTAATCAGAGTTGTAAATGAATGTTGATATTAATTTATTCTTTGAGTAAGTAAAGTTTTGACTAACATTTTTATATTTATTCACATAATTTTAAAAGTCAGGCGTATTTTCATAAATATTTTCATAGTATTTGTTTGTTGAAATGCTATAAATTTAGGTATTATTTTCTGAGTTCTACTCACCAAAAGGCAAAGCATATTTTTCAATGCTTTTTTAAGTTATTTTATCAGATAAAATGCTCGAAAAGTTACCAATTAAATATTTCTCACCTTAATTAGGTAAACTTAAATTAGAAAGCAGTATTCCTATCTGATTGCTTATGTTTTCATAATTTTAGAAATCACTTTGTGAGTTCTTCGTACTTTGACTAACACTTGAGTTTAGAACTTTAAAGGAATCAAATGTATTTTACATTTAAATATCATTATTTTATTGTAGTGCACTTTGATTATTGTTTTTTATACTTAATTAAGTATTTTAAATTATAGTTTTCAAATAATCAAAAGTTTGATTCTTCAATGTGGATTGGCTTTGATATTATGAAGTATATATTGTTTATTATACCTATGCAATCACTTTATTTGCAAATGTAGATAATAGTGAAAATTTTGGTAATTGCACAGACAACTTTTAAATACTAGTAACTAAAATAGCTTACAATTCATTCATTTTCTATGAAAGTTATAATTAAGTGTTTTTACTTATGTCTTCTCCAACTATGCTCAAAGCGACTAGTTAGTCTGTTATTGATTTATAATTTTATTGAATCTGCTATATCTATTGATTAACTAATTCATAATATTCATCAAACTATTTGTTCTATGCATCAACTTGAATTGTTTGAGTAGTGTTAGTTATTCCAAGTTAAGAGTCCATAACTTAGCTCAATATGACTAAATTTCCTTAAGGCAAAACAGTTTTAACTTAATTATAAGTTGTCTAATCTTTTATCTGTCTTCTCAGAATCTTCCATGGTGAAATTAATTCAGAGTTATAATCATCTATGGAATTGTAGTAGAAGAACTAGTAAGTCAGAGGAAGATCATCATCTGCGCAATTCAAATATTGTATAGAGAATACAGTTTAAAGAGCTACTCCAATTTAAGGGTTTATTACTAAGGTACACTTCTAAGGAGGTATATTTAAATAAAAACTTAATGTCGTTAAGCTTGGCATAACAAATTCTGGATTGTAAGCTGAAAACCGAATTTGTATTTTGGGCTGAGAAGGATTGATATCTTTGAAATAATTCCAAATTCTAAATCTGACAACATAGAAATCAAATTAAATAACTCCAACGACCTTATTTTCATAGATTATAGCTCCTGCATAAGATAAAGTATCTGAAGAAACATTCCCGCCGTAAACAATAACAAAGTTTAAGTCTTCATTTAAGTTAATTTTTTATGTTAACGAGGCTGCATATTATACTAAAAGTGGTGGAATATCTAATTCTGAAAAAAAGCAAATGGCTGTAGAACTACTTTTTCTAATGTCTTTTTCTCCAAATACTGTAGTCTAAATGACTGTGTAAGGTTAGAATATTTTAGCAGCAAAAGAGATACTGCTTTTACCTTGTTCAATTTAAATCTTATTATTACCATAATCATAGCAAGTAGGATCAATACTCGATACATTCAGACATTACCAGCTAAAATTAATATTTTGAGGTAAATTTGGGTCTTCTATTTCATAATCCCTAAAATCAGATTTCAAAACAAATTAATTTTGATAGTTCACAATAAAGCTAGTACCACCAACTATTTGCAAGTACAAATTAGATACTAAAACATCAACTGAAACCTCTTTTACAGAAAATACTTTGTTGTCAGAACTCAGCTTTAAAGTGAACTTTTAATTTAAAATATTTTATTCATAATATAAATCATAAATCTTCATTTATTCATTATTTAATGTGAAAAAGAAATAATTTTACAAAAATCAAAATAAACTTTAGAAGGAAAATAAATTGGGCTTTAAATATAAATTAAATTGAGGAAAAATTACAGTAACTTTGAATGCTTAGTTTGATGTCAAAGTATATGGAAGGATATCATACTCATAATTAGATTGGTTGTATTAGCTGATATTTTGCTCCGTTAATTAATTAGAAACTAATGATAAATCTAGAGGTTCTAAAGACTAAATCGTTTAGCCTAAAGAGCAAATCTAAACATAAAAATTAAAGTACAAGTTAAAGCTCATATATCTATTAATTAATGTTGAAATAATTGTTATATTTATAACTAATAAAATCATATGATTTACCTATAAATTGGGGGATAAACAGATTATTAATAATTTATTTAAATAATCTTTTATTATTAGTAAAATATACTAAAAGTTTAAAAGCCTGTTTAATTGACCTTTAGTTAGTAGCTGAATTGTATTTATATTTTTATGTTTGGTGGAAGATATTCAGGATCAATTATAAGCGATGTACTATTATTTGAATTTGCTTATTGTAATATTTAAACAATGTTCTGTTGTTATTAATTGCTAATTTAACCTGTAATTTGTATTAAAGTCCAGTTTACTTTTGCAAATTTTCTTCCTGCATCATTTTAAATACTAGAAAGTGTAATTTTAATCGGATTACAAGTATTCTCTATCTAATTATATTCAAATTAAAGCTAAGCTTATTTAGGAGGTTTCTAAGAAACAATATTTCTGTAAAATGTGTCTATAAAATAAGTATTATAATCTTAAAACTTGAGTTTATTAGGTAAAAAACTTATAGCGTCATTTTCCATTATTGTGGCTGAATTACCTTTTTAAAATTGAGTAAAAAATATAATTTTATTTAATATTTAGAAAATTTTGATTTTGATTTTATTTGAAATGAATGACTAAATATTTATTTAGTTTACCTAGAAATACTTCAATTAAGTTTTGACTGATTTAACATTATGAATCTGACCCAATGATGTCGATTGTAGTTTAATCAAATAAATATTAGCATAAGGATTAAGGTTAAAAAATATTGCTAGGTATATCTTAAAGAGAAGACCCAAAGTCGATCGTTAATTGAGGAGTGGATTCACTTAAATAAGCATCAAGGACAGCTATGTTTTAATAGCTGCATTAATAAAAAATATTCCTTATGTCTTTTGGATTCAAGCAGACACAATTTTAATTTACGTCAAGCCTCATTGTTTCAGTATAGCAAGTAATACATTTCTTATCTTAAGCTGAATCTTTATTGCATAATTAGCAAGTAGGGTAACAAGAATTGCAATCTGGGCTTGTTTTAATGTTGCATGAATTACAAGTAAGTAATTTTGTGTTACTTTAATATCCGTTTGGACATAATTCAGCACAGTAACCATTAAAAAGAAACATATTTTGATTACAAGTCAAACATTTATCCGGTCCAGATTCTTTACAGCTTGCACAAGATGAATCACATAACTAACATTAATTACTTGAATTAATAAACTCATTTTGATCGCATTTTGATGCACATGTCTTTGTGCTTAGCTTATAAATTAAAGGAGTTTAACAAGTTAAACAATTATTTGGTTAAGAGCCAGAACAAGTCAAGCAACTACTATCACAAGGAGAACATTAGCTTCCATTAAAATAGTATTTTTAAAAGCAGGTTTCACAGGTATTATAATCATTTACACAAGAATCGCAAAATTATTATTTACACTAATTAATTAATACATAAAAGTCTTTATTAATTTAATTTAGAATAAATTTTATAAAAATAATGTTTTCATTGTTAACTAACTAAAATTTATAGTCAACTTTAAAATGGGTTTGCGAAAATAATTTTTTTATATTGGAATTGTTTTAATTACTTAGAATTACACTCCAAGAAAAAGTTCAGCTAGATAAGTTTTTAAATTTGATCCATCGCTTAATGCAGAAAAAGTTATAGTTAATTCACTTGAATTTATTTAGACTTTTTGTTGGAATTTTTAGTAAGAATATTTATTTTAAACATAATCCTAATATCCTTTTCCATATAAGTCTTGATACTATTTTCCATTAATCATAACATTCATTTTTGTATTCGTAATAGGCGCAGATTAGACAATAATATATATTTAAAGATAAATTTAATTAATCTTTAAATTCCTATTTATTAATAAATAAAATGTAAATAACTAAAAAAATAAATATTTTGTAAAAAACATTTTAAAAATTAAAAATTGTTTTTAAAGGATTAAACTTTAGTCAATAAGAAATTAGAGTATAATTGAATAAAACTGATAAATTACATTAATATTTTTTGTTAATTAATAATTAAATAAGTAAGTAATATTTGTTACGAAGAATAATTTATCTTAAAAAGCGATGATGAGTTACAATTATCTCCAGAAAGATAACTATCTGTATTTATAGGTTATACAGCTATTTTTTGACAATCAGGATAGATCATATACGTTGAAAAATTTGTTAGATCAGAAGCGATTGAATAAGTAGACATATTTAATACACATTAACTCTCTTTAGTATTAAAAAAATTGATTTTATATCCATATTTATCATCAATTCTAATAACTTACAACTAAAAACTAATCCTGCGCCGTTTAAAGTAGACTAGCAGTCTAAAGTACTACTTTAAATTTTCTGAACAACTTTTTAAATAAAAAACAGTAATTAATTATTATAAAATGATTTTTAGATATAATTTAAACCCACTATTAGTGCTAAACATAAAAATCTAATTTTCTCTATCCTCATTAATTTCTACTTATTTCTTATTCTTTAGTAATTTGATTTTTAACAATTTTTTATAATTAATTAAATAATGAATAAGTATTGTCTATTGTTTAAGCATTTTGAGTATACTTATCAAAAAATAAGAAAGTTTTTTAGAACAACCATTCATTAAACATACACATAACGCAAAATATAATATTCAAAAATATGGCAAATTTATATTGCTTTATACTCAATTAAGCAATTAAAATGGATTACACTATTCAAATATTAAAACGAAATTATGTAGTTTTAATACAGAAAAGGTTTTACTTTTAATTTTTAGTGCTTTTATCAAGAATTCATAATACTTAATTTATTGATAAATCAAACAAAATTGCCTTATTTTGTTGTTTTTCTTAATACTTCGTTAAAAAATAAGTAATTTCTTTCCAGTATTTTGAATATTTTTAGGATTTGCTTTGTCATAATTTTTTATGATCATTCATTAAAAAATCCAAAGCAATTTATTTTTAGTTTTTAACAATCAAAATTAATGCGATAAATATCATAAATTCATTCATCATTATACTTCAGGTAAGCGTTATTAACCATAGAAATGTTCTATTAAATATCAAGCTCATGCTTATGAATTAATCAATTAGTAAATTAAATATTGTCAAAAAATATATGATTAATAGGTTAATTTTAATTAGAATCTCATTCTACGCTTCGAATTTTCTTTTTTTACATAGTTATATTTAATATATATTCTTACTTATTAAATTAGTTAATCAATCAATCATTCATTTTCTTAGGTCTAACAGAAAATAAAATTACCTTTTTAACTATAATTTAAATTAGTTATCTTTGGTCAGGGTATAAAATATTTTTGAGTCATAATCTGATTACTTTTTAATAATACTTTAAAAAAATTTACAAAATGGTAAATTTACATGTTCAAACAAAAAGTTACCCCACATATTTGAACAATGTTATTAATTGATCTATTTTAGCTAATATCAAGAAAAACGTTAAAATGATACAATTAGATTTCTTGCTTTTAATTAAAAAAAGTGGGTTTTTCGAAATTTGAGGTTATTTTATATTTAATTAAATAAATAAGCATTTTCTATTGTTTATCTAAGGCCATCATAAATTAAGTTGTAATTAATTTATTTCCAGTACCTTCAAAATTAGAAAGGAAAATTTATTATATAATAAAATCCATTCAATTTTTAATTAATACAAATACTATTTTTTGTTTGTCTCTTCTTTTATTTATGGATGAAAATTAGATAAATTAAGATTGTAAGTAAACAATATTGGTTTTCTAGTCAGATTAATAAGTGAATAATTCATCACTTTTTATAAATCAAATAAAGAAAATTAATTAATTAAATTTCTCCTTTTATAAATTCAAATATTATTAGCAAAAAATTAATTAAATTCCAATATTTTTTAGAAATTTTGAATAATTTAAACATTAAAATATACATATTACTTTAAAGATGTTAAAAAATATTATTTAGACTAAATTTTATACATTATTTATGCATTAATTTAAATAATATAAATTTACAAATAATTTTTTGATTTTCAACAACAAATTTATATTATGAATAATAAATAATTATGTCAAAAATAAATAAGTGTTTAATTTTCAAATTGCTATTTTGAACGTCATAAAGAGATTATCAAAATTGTAAAATAAAGTATTGAGTTTCATTTAGAAGCTGAGTAAATAAATGCTTTTATTAGTTCGTTTTTGGTAGAGTAAAAAATTTTTGAGGTTAAAATAAAAAGTACTATTTGATTTATCCCTTTTCAATCATGCTATCTAATTTCTCATGATAAATAATTAAATATTAATAGAAATTTATGGTTGAAATTTTTATTTCTTCAAATTCCTTTATATGATAATATTTAAGATTTTAATCTTTGATTGTTTTTGATGATAACTAAGGGTTGGATTTAGAGAAATTAATTTATTTAAGTAAATTTTCATATATTTAAGAAGCTATCCATTAACTTACTAAAAAAATATGGTATTTATAAATATAAAAAAAATATAACATATTAATCTATATTCTAGGTTAAATTATCTAACTATAAAATATTATATAATAATACATATTATGTTCTATTATTCAAATATTTAATATTTATTCATCCTTTTTCACCACTTGTCTGTCTATCATAAATTTCAATATAATATAGAGACAACTAATCTTTTTAATTTAAGACACTTGCTTTTTACTTTCAAATATTATGATTTATCAAGACTTTTAAATGTTATTAAATTTAAATTACTAAAAAAATGAAATAAAATAAAATTTTTTAATAAAATTAAAAATAAAAAAAACTTTGGAAGTATAATAATAAATTAAAATCTAATAAACAAATAAGAAGAGTTTTAATGCTATAAATTATTTTCTTAAGTAAAAATATCACAATCCAAAATTACTTAATTTCAAGTGTCAAATTTGAGAGTTTATTGCAATTTGCTAAACCAGAACATAAGCCTGAGGTACCTATTGCACCAAAATTATTACCACTTTTTAAATATTGATAAAAAATAGAAAATTAATTAGTTATTGAGATCAAAAATAAGAGAAAAAAATAAGAAATAGATAAATAAATAATTTAATCAAATTCTGAAAATAAAAAATGAGTTTAATTAAGAAAGATATTAGAAAAAATAACACAAATACAATAAAAAAGAAAAAGAATAGTAAATCAAATAATAAGCTAATAAGCAAATTAAAAGAGAATTGTTGTTTTAAATTCATTTTTATAACTAAAATTATCATAATCTAAAACAAATAAAATGTTTTTACTAAAGACTGAGTGTCAAATTTGAGAGTTTAGTACAATTTTATAAACCAGAACCTAAGCCTGATAAACCTTAATCACCAATATTATTACTACTTTTTAAATATTGAATATAAAATATAAAATTAATTAGTTATTTAGAAAATATTAAATATAAAGAAATTAATAAATTAAAAAAAATAAAAGCAAATGTTGAAAATAAAAAATGAGCTAAATAAATTAAGAAGCATAATAGAAAAAATACTCCAATACAATAAAAAAGAAAAAGAAAAGTAAACAAAATAAAAATCTAATAAGCAAGGAAAAAAAGCTTTATTGTTTTAAATTCATTTTTATAGCTAAAATTATCACAATCCAAAACAAATAAATTGTTTTTACTGAAGTTCAAGTGTCAAATTTGAGAGATTAGTGCAATTTGCAAAACCAGAACCTAAGCCTAATGCGCCTATTGTACCAATATTATTACCACTTTTTAAATTTTGAAGAAAAAATGTAAAATTAATTAGTTATTTAGAAGGAAAAAATGAAGAAAAAATATTAAATAATAAGAAACGAATAAAAGTAAATTTTGAAAATAAAAAATAAGTTGAATTAAGAAACTTAGTAGAAAAAACACTCAAATAAAAAAGAAAAAGAAAACTAAATCAAATTTAAAGCTAATAAACAAGTTAAAAGAGCTGTTTTGTATTAAATTCATTTTAATAGCTAAAAATATCATAATCCAAAACAAATAAATTGTTTTTACTTAAGGTTAATTGTCAAATTTGAGAGATTAGTGCAATTTCCTAAGCCATAACCTAAGCCTGATGCACCTGTTTCACCAATATTATTACCACTTTTTAAATTTTGAAGAAAAAATGTAAAATTAATTAGTTATTTAGAATGAAAAAATAAAGAAATAATAAGAAATTAATAAATTAATAAATAAATAATAAAAATAAATTTTGAAAATTAAAAATGAGTTAAATTAAGCACAAATAATAAGCTAATTAACAAGTTAAAAAAGCTATTTTGTTTTAAATTCATTTTTATACTAAAAAGATCACAATCCAAAGCAAATAAACTATTTTTACCTAAGAAAAAGTGTCAAATTTGAGAGTTTAGTGCAATTTGCTAAACTAGAACCTAAGCCTGATGCACCTGTAGCACCAATATTATTATCACTTTTTAAATATTGAAAAAAAATACAAAATTAATTAGTTTTTTAGAACTAATAAATGAAAAAAAATAAGAATTAATAAGAAATGAATAAATAAATAAATAAATAATAAAAGCAAATCTAGAAAATAAAAAATAAAGTTAAATAAAAAAAGATAGTAGAAAAAACAACACAAATGCAATAAAATAGAATAAGAAAGATAAATCAAATAAAAAGCTAATAAACAAGTTAAAAGAGCGTATTGTTTTAAATTCATATAAAAATATCACAATCCAAAACAAATAAACAAACTGTTTTTACCAAAGATAAAGTGTCAAATTTGAGAGATTGATGCACTTTGCTAAAGCAGAACCTAAGTCTGATGCACATTAATCACCAATATTATTTTCACTTTTTAAATATTGAAAAAAAATAAAAAATTAATTAGTTATTTAGAAGGAAAAAATGAAGAAAAAAATAAGAAATAATAAGAAATAAATAAATTAATAACTAAATCAAATGTTAAAAATAAAAAATGAGTAAAATTAAGAAAGATTAAGAAAAAACAACACAAATAAAATAAAAAAGAAAAACTAAAGTAAATCAAATAAAAAACTAATAAACTAGTTAAAAGAGCTAAATTGTTTTAAATTCATTTTTTAGCTAAAAAATCACAATCAAAAACAAATAAACTGTTTTTACAGAAGGTAAAGTGTCAAATTTGAGAGATTATTGCAATTTACTAAACCAGAACCTAAGCCTGATACACCTATAGCATCAATAGAATTACGACTTTTTAAATATTGAAAAAAAAAAATATTAATTAGTTTTTTAAAAGGACAAAATGAAAAAAGAATAAGATATAAATAAATAAAAAAAGTAAATTTCGAAAATAATAAATGGTTTAAATTTAGAAAAATAGTAGAAAAAGCCACACAAATACAATAAAAAAGAAAAATAAAAATAAATCAAATAATAAGCTAATAAAAAAGTTAAAAGACTATATTGTTTTAAATTCAATTTTATAGCTAAAAATATCACAATCCAAAATAAACAAATAAACTGTTTTTACTTAAGATCAAGTTTAAAATTTGAGAGATTAGTGCACTTTGCTAATGCAGAACATAAGCCTGATGCACCTATTGCACCAATTTCATTATCACTTTTTAAATATTGATAAAAAATAGAAAATTAATTAATTAGTTATTTAGAAAGAAAATATGAAGAAAAAAATTATCAAATAAAAAGCTAATAAACAAGTTAAAAGATATATATATTGTTTTAAATTCATCTTTATAGCTAAAAATATCACAATCCAAAATAAACAAATAAACTGTTTTTACCGAAGAAAAAGTGTTAAATTTGAGAGGTTAGTGCAATTTGCTAAACCAGAACCTAAGCCTATTGTACCTTAATCACCAATTTTATTATAACTTTTTAAATATTGAAGAGAAATTATAAAATTAATTAGTTTGAAAAAACGAAGAAGAAAATAAGAAATAATAAGAAGTGAAAAATTAAAAAATTAAATCAAATATTGAGAAAAAAAATGAGTTAAATTAAAAATAAGAAAGAAATTAGAAAAAATAACATAAATAAAATAAAAAAGAAAAATAAATCAAATCAACAAGTTAAAAGAGCTATATTGTTTTAAATTAATTTTTATTGCTAAAAATATCACAATCTAAAACAAATAAACAGATTTTACTTAAGATTAAGTTTCAAATTAGAGAGATTAGCGCAATTTGCCAAACTAGAAACTAAGCCTGATGCACCCGTTGCTCCAATATTATTATCACTTTTTAAATAAAATTAATTAGTTATTCAGAAACAAGTACAAAATGAAGAAATAATAAGAATTGAATAAATATATAATAAAATAAAATTTTGAAAATAAAAAAGAGTTAAATTAAGAAATATATTAGAAAAAACAACACAAATACTATAAAAAAGAAAAGTAAATCAAATAAAAAGCTAATAAACAAGTTAAAAGAGCTTCATTGTTTTAAATTCATTTTTAATGCTAAGAATATATCACAATCCAAAAAAAATAAAGTATTTTTACCCAAGATCAAGTGTCAAATTTTAGAGATTGATACACTTTGCTAAATCAGGACCTAAGACTGATGCACCTAAATCACCAATATTATTAAAACTTTTTAAATATTGAAGAAAAAATATAAAATTAATTAGTTATTTAGAAAGAAGAAATGAAGAAAAAAATAAGAAATAATAAGAAATGAATAAATAAATAAATAATTATTTCAAATCTTGAAAATAAAAAATGAGTAAAATTAAGAAATATTTAGAAAAACAATACAAATAAATACAATAAAAAAGAATAAGAAAAGTAAATCAAATAAAAACTAATAAACAAGTTAAAAAAGCAATATTGTTTTAAATTCATTTTTTAGATAAAAATATCACAATCCAAAACAAAAAAACTGTTTTTACGTAAGATCAAGTGTTAAATTTGAGAGATTGATGCACTTTGCTAAACCAGAACCTAAGTCTGATGCGCCTGTTGCAGAAATAGAATTACCACTTTTTAAATATTGAACAAAAAAATAAATAAATAATTAATTAGTTAGTTAGTTAGTTATTTAGAAGGAAAAAATGAAGAAATAAAAAGAAATGAATAAATAAATAATATAAGCAAATTCAATTGAGTTAAATTAAGAAAGATAGTAGAAAAAACAACATAAATACAATAAAAAGAAAGAGATAAATAAATCAAATAAAAAGAGCTATATTGTTTTAAATTAATTTTTATAGCTAAAAATATCACAATCAAAAATAAATAAACTGTTTTTACCGAAGAATAAGTCTCAAATTTGAGAGATTAGTTAAATTTCCTAAACCAAGAAATAAGCCTGATGCACCTAAATTACCGATATCATTACCACTTTTTAAAAATTGAATAAAAATATAAAATTAATTAGTTATTTAGAAGGAAAAAATGAAGAAATAACATGAAATAATAAGAAATGAATAAATTAATAAATAAATAATAAAAGCAAATTTTGAAAATAAAAAATGAGTTAAATAAGAAAGATTTAGAAAAACAATACAAAAAAAATAAAAAAAGAAATAGAAAAACAAATCAAATAAAAAGTTAACAAAGAATTTAAATTAACTATATTGTTTTAAATTCATTTTTATAGCTAAAAATATCACAATCCATCCAAAACAAATAAACTATTTTACCCAAGGTCAAGTGTCAAATTTGAGAGATTAGTACAATTTGCTAAAGTAGAACCTAAGCCTGATCCACCTGTTTCACCAATATTATTACCACTTTTTAAATATTGAACAAAAATATATAAAATTAATAAGTTATTAAAAAGGACAAAATAAAGAAATAATAAGAAATGAATAAATAAATAAATAATAAAAGCAAATTTTGAAAATAAAAAATGAGTTAAATTAAGAAAGATTTAGAAAAAATAACACAAATAAAATAAAAAAGAAAAACAAAAATAAATCAAATAATAAGCTAATAAACAAGTTAAAAGAGCTATATTGTTTTAAATTCATTTTTATAGCTAAAAATATCTCAATCCAAAATAAATAAACTATTTTTACTTAAGATTAAGTGTCAAATTTGAGAGATGAGTGCAATTTGCTAAACCAGAACACAAGCTTGATGCACCTATTGCACCTATATTATTATCCCTATTAAATATCGAAGAAAATATATAAAATTAATTAGTTATTAAAAAGGACAAAATTAAGAATTAATAAGAAATGAATAAATTAATAAAAGCAAATTTTGAAAATAAAAAATGAGTTAAATTAAGAAAGATAGCAGTAAAAACAACACAAATATAATACAAAAGGAAAATAAAAGTAAATCAAACAATAAGCTAATAAGCAAGTTAAAAGAGCTATATTGCTCTAAATTCATTTTTATGGCTAAAAATATCTCAATCCAAAACAAATAAACAGTTTTTACTCAAGGCCAAGTGTCAAATTTGAGAGATTGATGCACTTTGCTAATGCAGAACCTAATCCTGATGAACCTTAATCACCAACATTATTATTACTTTTTAAATATTGAGAAAATATATTAAATTAATTAGTTATTTAAAAGGAAAAAATGAAGAAAAAATATAAAATAATAAGAAATGAATAAATTAATAAATAATAAAAGCAAATGGTGTAAATAAAAAATGAGTTAAATTAAGAAAGATAGTAAAAAAATAATAGCTTTACAATAAAAAATAAAAAGAAAAGTAAATCAAATAATAAGCTAATAAGCAAGTTAAAAGAGCTATATTGTTTTAAATTCCTTTATTATTAGTAAAAATAACATAATCCAAAACTAATAAACTGCTTTTATCAATTAAAGTGTTACAACTAAAACTAATAAAAAATATCAAAAAAGTATAAATACATAATGATTTTTTAAAATATTTAATGAAAATTAAGTTAAAATAACTAAAAAAGCATTTTTAAATAAAATATAAAAAATTTGGATAATTTCTATTAGAAAAATTAAATTCTAAAAGAAGTGAAAGTTAAATATATAGAATATATGAATTATAATGATAATATTTATAAATTAAATATACCTCAGATCAATACGGAGAACCTAATGAGATTAAAGCGAAGAGTTTAAAAACTTTTTACATTATTAAAAATGAATTAAAAGTATATTGATAAAAAATTAAATAATTACTTCTTCTAATTTATAGTATTCTTTAATCTATTATATCATTTTTTTTTTCTTTTAAAAATATTGAAAAGCAATTTTTGGATATTTAATTAATTAATTAATGAAAAGTGGATAAAAAGAAAGAAAAAATAAATTACATGAACTTATAAATTTGCTTTTAGTTAGTAAGAGAAATCACAAATAACTTAGTCTAACTAACAATCATTATTAAATCTTAATATTTCTATTTCAAATGTTTACTTAAAAATAATAAGGAATTAGATATTTCATATAAAAAGATAATGAAAATACGAACTCTCTAGAATAAAATAAATTTTTGAAGTTTTTGGACTTATTTTTTTAATTAGATTAATTATCATATTTTTTAAATAGTTTAAAAAAATAAATGATAACTATTTCAAATAATTTTTAATTTTTAAAAATATGAAAATAAATTTATATAATTA